CTCGAACTCACAGAAATCCACCTGCCTCTGCCTCCCGAGTGCTGGGATTAAAGGCATGCACCACCAACGCCCAGCTGTCTGGTTTTTCTAAGATTTTTTTCTTTTGTTTTTCCTGCTTGCTGTGTTTTCTGACTGTATTTTTGGCAAGAAACTTTGTTCAGAAGTCTAGGGATACTGGCTGGACAAATATTTGGGAATAGGTCATTAAAAATGGATGTGAGTCTGTGCACAGTGGTGGGGTTGACTGCAGGCTTGGACTGTTTCTTGGGGAATCCCTAAGTCATGGCCTTGCTCTTTGGGAAACTGTGGACATGGTAAGGGTCCAGATATATTTAGAAGACAGAACCAAGATCTCCTTACAAATGGGATAGAGAGGACAGGAGACCAGCATGATTACAGTGGTTTTAGAGAGAGAGAGCTATCCCAGGAGGTCCCGCAGGTTTCGAGTCAAGGATAAATTCACATACTGAGATACCTATTTAATACTCAGATGAAGATTGTGAGTAGGAAGTTAGAAATACGAGTTTACAATGGGAGAGATCTGGGTTAGAGCCACAAGTTGTGCACTAGTCTACAGAATATAACTTAAAGCATCAAAGGAGAGAATTAGATGAGGATTGAGAACTAAGTAGGACTAAATCTTGGGAAGCTTTGACATAGAGTAGGACAGGCTGAGACTGTCTCACTGTCAGAGGATCTGCTTAGTGTACCTGAGGCTTTGGGTTGCTCCTTCACATCAGAGAGAAGGGAGCAGGGCATGAGAGATAAGAGAAAAATAGATGGGTAAATAGGTTAGTCATGCCTAGGAAAAAATCTAGGACAGCATGTTGAAGGCAAGTGGAAAAAGTATATGCAGATTGAGTGTTCATGCCTATAAGATGTCTCAGGGATACTCCCTGAGCCAAGACATACGGGGTGGGCCTAGGCCCTATCCCAAAGGATATGATAGTCTCTGATGACCCCCTATGGAAGGCCTCACCCTCCCTGGGGAGCAGAAAGGATATGTGATAGGTATGGTTTTAGTTGGGAGGGTGGTAGGGGAGGGAGTGGGAACTGGGATTGAAATGTAAAACAATCTTGTTTCTAATTCAAATAAAAAAAATGGAAAAAATTTCTTATCTTTGCCCTAAAATAGGGAGTAAGGTCAGTCTGGCTGAAAAAGAGGAGGCTATTGCGGTAAGAGTATTAAGGAGTTTACAGTTAGTGTCTATGTAACTGAAATGCTTATCCCAAATTGATTTTGGCCCTTGGACGAAGCAATGTGCTGCATTTGTAGAAATGGTGACATTGGTATTTGAATTTCCTACTGAAATCTTTTCTTCTTTATAGAAAATTTGCTGGAAATCATATTGTTCAAACACAGTTAATGAATGACTTGTTGGTGGGCATTAGAGTTTCGATGACATTAGTACAGAAAGTACAAGGTCTCCAGGGTGACCTCTGCAGTGAACCCGGCTCTCCCATATGGCAGACTGTGTGTGATTTGCTGAGCATGTTCACCAGGTGTTTAAACGACGGTAAGCACACATGATGGTCATGACTGTGTGCCAGTTAGCTCTTCCAAGACATGTGATTGAGATGTTTAACCTATGTTGAAGGGACCTGAACTACATGATTGTAATGCTTTTTTTGTTTGCTTGATTTTTTTATTTTTCAAATGTATGAGTTCAGCAAGGGAGGATGAACTTTCCCCAGTTTGTGTGTGTATATATGTCGAATGTTTATTGTATACAAAAGAGAAGCACTGATACTCTCATTGTTGGAAGCCACAGACTTTAGGTTACAGAAGAAGATTCTTTAGAGTAGTTAACTGAATTTAAGAAAGACTTAGATGAGTTGAATTCCTAGTGGTATTATAGGCAGATAATCACAGTAGTTATTGACTGTGAGCACGTTTGCTTCATTCCTCCCTGTATCTCCTGTTGGTGAGAACTGTACCACTAGGAAGGCAAACAGAAGAAAAGAACTTTCTCTTCATGTGAGTATTTCAGTTAATAAATTAAAATGAAGCAACACAATGCACCTTTTGTAATACCCAGTGATTGATGTAGGTGGCATTAAGCACCAATAACCACAGAAACAAAACCAGACAAAATATGCCTCTTAGATTCTTGTAGCTACTCCCTGCCATCTTCATGAAGGGATTGAATTTGAGAATGATGCCATCTGTAGGTTAACTGCCAGTTTGCAGGAATCAGGACTGCATTGAATTAGGACAGAGAACATACCAGGAATAAGCAAACTTAGTATGCTGGTTGAAAGAAATTCTGCAAGTCAGATGGACAAGAGTTCCTCATCAGAGAATTATAACAGAGAGAGACAGAGGGTGCCTATATTGTAAGATACATAAATGACATTTAAAAAGTGATGTGCAGCTGTCCTGTCTAGAAATACATACTCATTTGTTAATGCTAATGAAGAATATAAGGAAGTCATTACTGTGAAATCAGAACAGTGTGTACTCAGAGTCTGAAAGAGAATTATGGTTTGCGTGAGGTACATGGGATAAGGAACAGGTAAGTCTCAGGGCCAGAAGCTGTTTTTTTTTTTTTTTTTTTTTTCTGATGATGAGTTATCTTCTATAATTTATTTAACTGTATGTGTATATATATAGAATCTTTTTTTCTTAAACAAAGGGGTTTAATAGCACTTGAGCATTATAAAAAAGGTTAAATTATCCTTTCTTTTAATCTGCTATTCTGTGTGTTAATGCACAAATGAATTTAACTTTAAAAACAAAATTAAAAAATGAACAACAAAATAAAACAAAAAACCCATTGGACCATTGGCACACACCTGTAATCCCAGCACTTGGGAGGCAAAGGCAGGTGGATCTCTGAGTTTGAGGCCAGCCTGGTCTACAGAGTGAGTTCCAGGACAGCCGGGGCTACACAGAGAAGCTCTGTCTTGAAAATCCAAAACAAACCAAGCAAACAAACAAAACAACCCAAGGGGCTGTAGAGATGGCTCTGTAGTTAAGAGCACTGACTGTTATTCTAGAGGTCCCAGGTTCAATTCCCAGCGACCACTCGGCAGCTCACAACCATCTGTAACTCCAGTCCCAGGGGTTCCTACATCCTCTTTTGCTTTCTTGGACACTGTACACATAAGGTGCGTAGGCACACATGTAGGCAAAACACCCATACACATTACATTTTAAAAAATTTTTAAAAATTTAAAAATGAAAAAAAATTGGCTGGACAAGATGTCTCAGTGGGTAAAGACTTTGCCACCAAGCCACATGACCTGAGTTTGATGCTTGATCTGTTGATGGTGGCAGAGAATGGAGTCCTACAAGTTGTTCTTTGACCTCTACACACACACACACACACACACACACACACACACACACAAAAACAAAAAAAAAAGAACAAAAAAAACTCTGTTTTTTCTGGGGGTATTGTTTTAATACTTGTAACTAGGCAAAGTTACCTTAAACTTTTAGAAATTTAAAGGGAACTAAATTAGTAACTTTAAAAAAATAAGAACTTATAATTTATGTGTTTATGTCTCTGAGAGGTGTACACATGGGTTCCCAAGGAGGCCAGAAGAGGGTGTCTGACCCCTGGAGTTAGAGCTGTAAGTGGTTGTGAGCCATCCAGTGTAGGTGCTAGGAACTAAACCCAGATCCTCTCAAGAGCACCAAGTGCCTTAACCTCTGAGCCATCTCTCTAGACCCTAATTAATTAGTTACTGTCATCAAGACAGAACTCATAGACAGCTTTTCAGAGTATATTTACCCTTTTTAAAAAGGGGAATTTGGTAATCCGAGACATAAAAGAATTCGTTGAAATACAGAGAAGATACAATTAAAAACATTTTAAAATTTATTTAAATTTATGTGTATATGTCTATGGTTATATGAGTTTATGGACACCATGTCTATTTAGGTGCCTGTGGAGACTAGACTAGGACAGCGAATCCCCTGGAACCAGGCTTATAGATAATTGTGAGCCCCCATTTGGGGATGCTGGCAAGTGAGCCTGTACCCTCTGTAAGAGGAGCAACTACTCCTGACTGCTGAGTCATCTCTCTAGTCCTGATACAAGTTTAATGAGACAGTGCCATTCTTAAGTAATTTCAAGCTTTTTGTGTTAGTAAAGTGTTTAGCAGAAAACTGTATCACAAAGTTTAGAGGCAGAAGACCCAGAACTCCTGCCACTAATGTAGGACCCAGCTCTGCTTTTCTGCTGTGACAATTTTATCATATTTTATCATGTTGGTGTCTACCTATGAGCTTGCTGCCTCCTGTTTGGCATCTGTCTGCTGTAGCTGTAGGCGTTGTGTGTTTGTTCATGGCAAGAAGAAGAAGGGCCTTGCATCTTCGTTTTCTTTTCTTTCTTTCTCTGTTTCCTTTTTTTTTTTTTTTTTTTTTTTTTTTTTTTTTTTTTTTTTTTTTTTGATGTGTGAGTGCTCTGCATGTATCCCTGTAGGTCAGAAGAGGGTACTAGATCTCATTATAGATGATTGTGAGCCACCCTGTGGGTGCTGGGAATTGAACTCAGGACCTCTGGAAGAGCAGCCAGTACTCTTAACCACTGAGCCACCTCTCCAGCCCCAGGGCCTTGCATCATCATCAGAAAAACTGATAGACCCAAGGGACTTCTGCCTATAACCCAATGGCCTGATCCCCTCCAGTTGCTGTTTTTAGTTTCAAGGAAGGTTGTGGAAGCAAGAACCCTGCTTTTGGCTAAGCATATGGCTGCCCAAAGTCAGCTTTGTTTCCAGAGATGGAGGGCAGCAGAGTGGATATTTAATAGTTAACCTAAGGCATTCTTCTTAGTCTGAGTTGAGTAATTCTTATGACTGGAGGCAAACGTATATGTAAACAAAAAGAGGATAGCAAATCAAAATTGTCTGGTCACTTTGCTGTGCCAGCAAGGTTTCTAATTGACATTGGTGTAGATTTTTTTCACAGAGACCTGAAGATCTCTCTGAGGAAAATTGTTCATGGAATAGAAATACAAAGACATTGGTTTCGGGGAGGGGCAGGTGATGGTGTCACTGGGTATGCTAGTGGCGTAGATGTCAAGGATCAGTGTAAGATGCTGGGCAAGAGAGGAAGGAAGCTCATTCACTGAATATGTGCTTTGTTTAATCTTTCTCTTCATTTTCTTTTAAAATTTGTGACAACTTGTCTGGTATGAGTTCTTTTTTTTTTTTTTTTTTTTTTTTTTTTAAAATTTTTGAAAATTTTTTTGTTTTGGTTTTTTTTTTTTTTTTTTTTTTTTTTTCTGTAAAGAAAGCTGAGTTCCTGGGAGTATACGTTACCTGTCTGGGATCTAGTCACCTGGGAAATGGTCAAGCTGGAAACATCTAGGACTGTCTGACTCCAAAGTACTTACTCTTTCTGCTACACCAGACTTTCTATCCTTTAATATACGATGACTGCTTCTCCCTCCCCCAATAGATGACCTGCTGCAGACTATCCAGAGCACATCGGGGCTAGCTGTTATTCTTTTTGTGAAGACCATGTTCCATCCTCCTGAAAAGCTTCCCGGGTTGGTGAGTGCATCTCCTTTTTAGAAGTCTCCTTTACCAAGAATTAGATGGACATCAATCTGTTTTAATTTAAATATTTTATTGGTTGTTATTTTATAGTTATTTATTTGTGGTGTGTGTCTGGGCACACAAGTGTCAGGGTATATGTGTGAAGGTGATTAATTCCTTCTACCGCGTGGATCCTGGGGATCAGACTTAGGTTGTTAGATTTGACATGTTTTTACCCACGAAGCCATTTCACTGGCCCTTCAATTTTTAAACTGTATAGGCTGAATTTTAAAGTTTATTTGGCACAGTTGGGATTTTTCCAGTAGCTCTTTTCTCTTATAACGATAATTCTAAATACACAAATGAAGTGGTGGGGATGATGACTGGGTAATAACAGCCATGTGTAAGTCAGTTTTGCAAAGGTTACTGCTATTAGTTTTTTGTGACTACCCTCCTAGTTTTTTGTAGGGCCATCTTTTCAGTTCTGTGTGTCAGTATGGCAAGAGATGTTTATAACATTACAACTGTGCAGTGACTAATGTCTAAACACACAGTAATAATTTTCTGGTAGTCTTTTTTTATTGAGAATAGACTTTGTAATATACTTAATCATACTTTATCATGTAATATTTTTGGTTGTGAGCTTAGCCTTTAATAGCTGAGCCATCTCTCCAGCCCTTATCATATAATACAAGAGGCATGTTTGGGCCAATTTTAGTGAATTTGGTCCCTAATGAAAGTGTAATTTTGTAATGTAGATCACAGTCTTGTGTTGGCTGCTAGCATTCTCCTCTTCTCTCACTTTGTCTAATTAAACATACATGTATTCTCAGGTCATGCAAAATAATTATTCTTGTATGCAACTGAATTCTTTTCTTAGAACTCCTCTAAAAGCATCCTCATGTTCACCTGAAGGCATTGACCTTTATGCTTCACCAGTACGTTCCTCTCAGCAAAAAGATTTATGTGCTTAGATTAATCTTTTTTCCTTTTAAAGTTAATGTAATCATTTTAATGTTTGTGGCTGTTTCATGATAACTTTTCCTGGAATATTTCTGGAAATATTTCAAGAAAGATTTGTAAGTTTGTATTTGAGATGTTTGTATATTATTACCTCTGTTGTTTTCCAGATCAGCAGCTTGCTTCTCCAATCAGTTGACTGCACCAGCATCCCTGAGTGGTTCATGAACAGCTGTAGGAGCCTGTGTTGTGCTGACGTGTCAGCATCAACTCTCTTATTCCTGTGTCAGGGAACACTTGCTATGTTGGACTGGCAGGACAGGAGCATGGGCCCAAGTGGGGAGGCTTTGCTCTTGGATACTGTGCGTGTTTTATTTACCTTGAGTTCACAGTGAGTTTTGGTTTTGTTATCTCATATTTTGTTTTGCTTATAAGACATTTGACACAACTGAGCCAACAAAGTCAATTCAATTAAATGTGGTTAGGATGAATCCTAAATTTAAATTGATAGATGAGAATAAATGAGAGAGAAAGACAAGATAATGAGAATGACAGTCGTAGGAATTACTGGTGCTGGCTAACCTAGTGAACATTTCTGACGTTCAGTATCTATGCTAGCTTATTTGTTTGTTGTTTTGAGTCAGTGTCATGTTACCTTGAACTTACTTTGTGGCCAAGGCTGATTTTGAACCCCTGATCTTCCTGCCTGCCCTCCCTTAACAGGTGTACACCACTACACCCAACTTATGCTAGGATTAAAATTTTTATTTTTTATTTATTTATGTGCATCTGTATGGTGGGTATTTGCGTGTGTGTGAAGTGCCATGGAGACCAGAAGAGGGCAGTGGAGCTCTTGGTACTGGAGTTTCAGGTGGTTGCGATCTGCCTGATACAGATGCTGGGAACTGAACTTTGGACCTCTGAAAGAGCAATATTTGCTTTTATCTACTGAGCTATCTTTCCAGCCCATGCTACCATTTTTAAAAACTTAAAAATTTGGGTTTAGGGATGGTAGAACACATGACCCTATTTTCAGTTCTTAGAGTTGTACCAAGCCAAAGTAAACAACAGAAACTTTTATAAAAATGCCTGAGTATAAAACGCTTTTAAGATTCACGAGTTTCATAAATCCCAGGTAATCTAATGTGTTCTTCACATGGAAAGTATAAAACTTAGTTTGCTGGATGACTAAGTTGAGGTTTAGACACTCAGTGCTCACTTACGAGCATGCTATAGTAAGTTCTTCACAGAGCTGAGCTTCTTGGGTGTTTTGCCATTGTGGATGGAATGATCATGTACTTGAAAGCAGGCTTAGCTATGAAAGGTGCTTGTGGCCAAGCCTGATAATCTGAGTTTGATTCATTGAACTGACATTCTAGAAGAAGACTGACACCTGCATGTTTTCCTATGCCCTTAGCACACATGTGGGCTCACACACTAAATAAAGAAATGCATGTATGTGATAAATGTTTTAAAGTCAGACTATGAATACAGCCTAATGGTAATAATCGTTACTACCGAAATAAGCAAAAATGTCTAAAATGATTTTTACAGGCTGGAGATAAAAATTCACAAATGTAAGGTATACAATTCTATTTCTTTAGTATGTTTATGGAGTTGGACAACCATCACCACAGCCAGCCTCAGAGTGCTCCCATCTTCCTGGATGGTCATGGTGGTGTCGTTGGGAGGCAGAGGTAACAAGATGAGTTTGAGTGTAGCCTAGGTCACCTAGTGAGACTTTGTCTTAAAATAAATTTCATCATCCTAAAACAGCAGACACCCCAAGACCAGTCTTTCCTAGCTGGGCCCTCAGACTATTTTAAAATCCCCAGGAGAGGCAAGGGAGATGGCTCAGTGGGTAGGAGCACTTGCTGTGTATGCATGTGGACCTGAGTTCAAATCTCAGGCACCACATGTGCTTTTACTGCCAGCATTAGTAAGGACAGTAAATCCTGGGAGCTCTCTGGTCAGCAGCTGTCCTAGCTGCAATAGCCAGCTTGTAGTTCAGTAAGAGACCCTGCTCAAGGAAGTAAGGTAGAGAGCTATAGAAGAAGACACCCCACATCTTCTTTTGGTCTCTGTGCATGCATCCTCACACTCACACACTCACACACACAATTTAAAATACTCATGAAACCATCATCACAGTAAAAATAGTATTTCATTTATTTTTAAATGTTTCCTTGTATTCATTATTTAATTTTTTGTAAAGTAAAAAGATTCATGTGAGCATTTGTCTTTCAGTTTGGCCTTATTTATAATTTTGTGGTTGTAAATTTCATTGAATTTTCTGTTCATTCTTTGTATTTAAAAGTTGTGATGTCTGTCTAATTTCTTTTACTAGACAGTTTATAATAAGTTGTGTCATGGTTTATTTTTCTCCAGGATTAAGGAGTCAACACTAGAAATGTTCCTGTCTAGAATCTTGGCCTCTTGGACCAATTCAGCCATACAAATCCTTGAATCAAGTTCCCCAAACCTAAAGGCCTCTCTGAATGGGGATTCGAGCATAGCTAGGAGACTTCTGGAATATGTCTATACACACTGGGAACATCCATTGGATGCTCTGAGACACCAAACCAAAATTATATTCAGAAATCTTCTGCAAATGCACCAGCTCACTATGGGAGGGGCCGATTCAGTCACTGACCCTTTCTTTCTGGAATTGACTAAGAGTCTTCTGAAACTAGAATGGCATATTAAAGGGAAGTACTCATGCCTTGGCTGTTTAGTTGAGAGTATTGGAGTTGAACATATTTTGTCAATAGATAAAACTATTCCATCTCAAATCCTAGAGGTGATGGGAGACCAGTCATTGGTACCTTATGCAAGTGACCTCTTGGAAACCATGTTTAAAAATCATAAGAGCCATTTGAAGTGCCAGACTGTCACCAACACTTGGATGGATGAGTGGCATGAGACTTGGGTTTCTCCTCTTCTGTCTATACTATGTGGAGGAAACTTGGATCAAAAGTCTTACGTAATCGATTACTACTTGCCAAGGTTACTGAATTACAGCCCGGAAAGCCTGCAGTATATGGTGAAGATTCTTCAGGCATCTATTGACACTGAAACTGGTGAGAAATGTTTGTTTTAGTCATTTCTATTTAGGATACATAAAGTAGGTCCCTATGTGGACTCCTGTCATCTCCTAGTAAGTGCTAAAGAATGCTACTAATGGTGGCCACTTCAAATTGAAACAGATTTGACTTTCCATAGCAGAGTGGTGTTTTTGGCTGAAGTGCTTTTGCCAACCCAAGGAGTGATTCCAGTTATAAGGTTTTGTTTTTTAAAAGATTGATTTTCATGTATATGAATCTGTGCTTTCTTCTGTATATGAGCAACACTTGTGTTCCTTGTGTCTTTGGAGGTCAGAGTAGGGCTGTCATTGGATTCCTTGGAATGGAGTTATGGATAGTTGTCAGCTGCCATGTGGGTGCTGGGAATTGAACCTGGGTACTGGGGGGGCGGGAGCAATCAGTGCTCCAGCCCCTAGTTACAAGGTTTTTAATTTATTATTTTGTTCTTAATCTAGAGTAATAGTGTATGTATTTTATATAATTTTTTTTACCCAGGTGATTGAGGTAGCAATTAAAAATGCTTTTGGCAGGCTTAATAAAAACAGGTGAGTTTCACAATTAAAAAAAGAACTATGTAGTTATTTAGAGTAGGGAGAACATGCCACTGAAACTTAGGAGTGCTAAAGGAGTCATGGTTTATAATGAATGTGTAGTTATATGTGGTGGTATATGTATCTAATTCCAGCACTTGGGAGGAAACAGGGACAGGAGGATTGCTTCCAGTTCAGAGCCAGTTTAGTATACATAGTAAGTTCTAGGTAGGCCATGACTGCAGGAAATATATAGATAGATGGTTAGATTAAAAATGAATATACAATTATAACTGTGAACATGGAAATCTCATCATTTTAAACTTGGTTCTGAGAGGAAATTTTGATTTCTGTACACAAAACCAGTGTGCTCTTTAATAATCTGTAGCAGTTGTTCTTGCATTTTTGAGAGAGCACCTGACATTAGTTTGTATTTATTTTGTGTAAGTTCTCCTGTGAGCCTCAGCTTCCTGTGCTGTGTCAGAGCAAAGCTTTGCTAGAGGGTGAAGTCAGGAAGTCCTTGTGGTCCATGTCTTATGTTCTTTATAAATGAGAACAACTCCAAAATGCATGCTGAGGGCCAACGTTTATTTTCAAGGAAATAATATTCTTTGAACTAGTACAGTGTTTCTACTATTTTTGTGTAATTATTTTAACTTTTCTCTACTTTATTTTTTTCTTCTAATTCACGTAATGGTAGATTTTTTTTTTTTAAAGTTTTAAGGTCAAAAGTAAAAGTATTAGAGAATTAAGTTGTGATTTCTTTATACTAATAAGATAATTACACTTACTTGAAATTATTGGCACAAACACTTATTTTCATTCATTTTTATTTTAGAATAAGCACTTTAATTCATGTTAGAATTTAGTTTAAAATTTAATGTTAATTGGAAAATAAAAGTTGGCAAGTTGTAGTCATTGCATAGCACAGGAATGGTCTTTGCTATTGTGCTTTCCAGACAAAAACAGTCTTTTCCCCTCTTAGGGTCTTATAATCGAAGAGGGGCTCTGGGAGCTTTGATGGCATGTCTACGAACAGCTAGAGCTCATGGACATCTTCAGTCTGCCACTCATGCCTGGGAGGATCTTATGTGCGGTACAAGGATAAAGCAAGGCTTAATTCACCAACACTGCCAAGTAAGGAAACTTCTGTTGCACACATTAGTCCCTGATAGCTGATCCCTTTAGCAGTCCTGCTAGGGGCCCCTAAATTGTTATGCTAGTGGAGAGTGGCATCCTTGTATGCAGTCTGTGCAGTGTGTAGTTGGGAGCACGGACAGCTTACGTAAAGACCCTGCAGCTCTGATGGATGGTGTGGATGTCAGTATGCGTTAGTAAGGAAGGGGCTTTATCTGGAAGGGCTTGAAGAGCCTGATCCTGGTAGGTGGTGGCTGGTTAGGAAGTGGAGAGTTAGAATAGCACACAGAATGGAAGCAAAAGCTCATGTTTGGTAAAGATCTAGTGCTACCCTGGTGACTTCATTGGTTCCCAGTTATCAATTGAATAGGTCTGTTCATTGGTTATCAGTTGTGTCAGAGATGAAGTTCTGGAGGAGCAAAAGGAAGCCAGGAGCTAGGCTAGTGTGAGCTGGACGTGAGCCAAACTTATTTACGAAGCACTCAACTCCATCCTTCGTAAATAAGTTTGGCTTGTGAATGTACATAAGCCTCAGTTTACACATGTGACGACAGTTTTATAAGAAGTAACTGCAAGGTGTTTTGGATTAAGAAACCTTTCTGAGGTATATGTGAGCAACATGAAGTTTACTTTTGTCTTTGGCAGCTTACACCAATATCACACATTTGAAGTATTTTACACTTTTCTTTCATGGGAAAGTTGACATGTTATTTGGTATATTTTAGGTGCGGATCGATACGCTAGGCTTGCTTTGTGAAAGCAATCGGAGCACAGAAGTGGTCTCTATAGAAGAGATGCAGTGGGTGCGGTTCTTCATCACATACAATCTCAACAGCCAGTCTCCAGGGGTGCGGCAGCAGATTTGCTCACTCCTTAAAAAGGTAGAATTTTGCATCAGAATGGGAAAGTAGTAATTGCTCCAAAAGTTGCTTTTTTAAGGGCGAGTGTGGAATGGTTGTGGTATTGGGCTGTGTCTTCATAGCTCCAGTGTCTTCTCTGAGTTCATCAAGTTTACATGTGGGATTAAAATACCTCACAGAGCTGGGTGGTGCTGGTGCACGCCTTTAATCCCAGTACTTGGGAGACAGAGACAGACGGATGATGACGGAGTTTCTGTGCTGCCTGGTCCCGCAGCTGTTTAGTCCCAAATAAACATACAGAGACTTATATTAATTATAAACTGTTTGGCCAATGGCTCAGCTCTGTCTTAATTATTAACCCATTTCTATTAAACTATGTATTGCTGCAAGGCTGTGGCTTACCTGTAATGTTCTGTCTGGCATCTTACTCCTTTGGTGGCTACATGGCGACTCCCTTTTGACTCCTCCATACCTTCCTCTTCCCAGAATTCTCCTAGTCTGGTAGCCTCATCTATACTTCTGCCTGGCCACATCCTGCCTGTCCATTGGCCAAAACAGCTTTATTCATCAACCAATAAGAGAAACATATATTCACAGCATACAGAAAGACATCCTCCATCAGGTGGATCTCTGTGAGTTTGAGGCCAGGTTGGTCTACAGAGCAAGTTCTAGGATAGCCAAGGCTACACAGAGAAACCATATTTCGAAAAACTAAAAGAAGGTTTTAAAATCCAGCAGAGAAAGTTCTTTCATTTGGGTGTAAAATAACAAACAGTCCAACCCTGAACTCTTTACAAGTATAACTTTGAAACATTTATTTAGGGACAGGTGTGTATACTGGGGTCTGGTTATGGAGGTCACAGAGAGTTTGCAGGAGTTGATTCTCTCCATCTGCTGTGAGGATCCTGGGAATAGACATAGGTCATCAGGCCTCTTGGCAGACATCCTTACTCACTTGGTTGTCTCTCACCTGCCGAAGCATTTTTTTCTTTTTTTGAAAGAAAAACAAAGTCTAGCATTGGGGTTCTTGGAGCATGGGTGGTTTGAAGAAGGCATAGGTGGCAGGGAAGGAAGCACTTTCATTTGTAAGTACCTTGTGGAATGGTAATTTCATGAGTAGCTAATCTTGAATCATTTGTATAACACATCTGTGGAAGGAATTGGTAAGGTATAGAAATGACTGTATCCTCTTCAGGGTCACACCAGTTTAAAGGAAATGGGAAAACTGGTTTGATTCTGATTGCAGTAATATGTTGTTTTTGGTAAAACTATAAAATGTTAATTTTATGTCAGAAAAAAAAACAGTAGATTTCAAAATTTGAAAACCCAGGCACTCCGTTAGCTTTAAATTGTCCCTGCAGGCTGGTGTTTTACTGTGTGGTTTACATATTCTTTTAAATATCTTTTTCTCCTTAAAAGTTATTTTGTAGGATACAAGAAAGTTCTCAGGTACTTTATAAATTGGAGCAAAGGAAATCTGCACCTGACTCAGAGAGTGGGTCCAGCAGCGAGCGGCCTCCGGTATCTTTACAGCAGTATAAGGTAGGTGACGTGCTAGACACACACGCTCCAGAGCCAAACTGTGGAAGCACTGGAAGGCAACAAACAGAAATCTCTTGGTGAACTGTGGCTTTGTGTTTTTTTCCTGGACATGCTGGGTGTTACACATTCTTCCCCTGCCTGGGTACTCCCTCCACTGGAGGTAGCCTGAGTTGTAGAACCAGTCCAGTACTTGAGGATTGTGACAGAATGACATATCTGGGGTCACCTCAGTTGCTTACTTCTTGTAGGGCCAGTTTACTGATTTCTTTGACATTTGCTTATTTGCTACCGCTAAAGTCTACCTCTTCTCAGGGCAGAAGACTGTGCTTATGGCTGTGGCTCAGATAGACTGCGAGTGTGTGTGTGGGTGTGTGTGTGCGTGCCCTCTGAGGTCATTGCTGGACTTGAGGACACATAATGCCATTGCCTCTTTCTGAAAACAGTGACATGGCATTCACTGAAATGTCACTTAAGCCATTAAAAGCCTGTTATATGGATTGATACTCTAAATTTTTACTAAAGCTTGTGTTTTAGTTTTTGCTTAGATACTCCTTTTTCCCTCCCTAGAGACAAGGTCTCCCTGTGTAGCCCAGGCTAGCTTTAAACTGTGGTCCTCCTGTCTTAGTTTTCCCAGAGATATAAGTATGGTCATGTGTGCCATGTCTGACAGACACAGTTTTTTGAACATTAGAGACTTAATCGAAGTCAGTCTTGTGCTTATGATCATTTCTTATAACTGTTGACAGTCTGTGGCTTTTGGAGGTTATGGCCTTTGCCCCGTGTTACCATCATCATACTGGTGGGTGCCGTGTAGTGTGTGATATGCCCAGTGCCAATTATACAACAAGTACTGAGGAAAAAGGGGAGGCTGTTAGTTGGTAAAGATGTCTTTTAGGGTAGCAGAGTTGATTTCTTACCTAAACAACCGCTCCTAATGTCTAGAGTACTTTCAAACTTATCAAACACCGTGTACCTATGTTTTCATTTAGTCTTTTATAGTAAGGCTATGGGTTAAGCTGTCTCATTCCCATGTAAGGTTAAGGACCTCAGCTTCTGGAAGCACCTAGTAGTGCTGTCCATGGGCTCACATAAATGAGGGCTGGTAGGCGAGGGAGAGATGAGAAGGCCTTGGAGAAGTGAATTTACTTGTAAGTAAATGTGGCATGTGGAATGCAGGAGTGGCAAGGACTGAACATAGAAAACCTAGTGGAAAATGCTATTTGGGATCTTACTAGGAGCTATAAGTTAACTATTCGGGCATGGGCTGGGGATGGAGCTCAGTTGGTAGAGGGCTTTCTTAGCGTGCATAGAGCCATGTGTTGGATCCCATCCTGGGTGTGGGTGTAGCATACAGATATGTGGCATCCATAAGCTGGGTGTGGTGGCACATGCCTGTTGTCTCAGCACTTACTAAGTGGAAGCAGGAGCATCAGAAATTGAAGGTCACCCTCTGCTACATATCTAGTTAGATCTTTGTATAAACTGTGTCATGGTCCATTTAGTGGTCTGTATTGTCCCTTTCTTTGTTTACTCTAAAACTTTGGAAAGCTGCGTATCTCTGATGCTTACCTGAAGGCTTCTGTCTGGAGAAGTGAGGGTTCATAAAACCCAGCACAGACAGGGCCTGAACAGATCTTGTTTTTTTTTTTTTTTTTAATCTCGCTGAATCTTTAAAGACAGGTTTATTGAGGTCATGATATAGTTGGTGCCTGAAGTATTTCCCTGTTGTGTTGTTGTGTCAAATGCCGAGGGAGGCTACTTTGGAAAGGATAGAGGTTCTGAAGAAGAATGTTAGTGGCTGGAAAGGTCAAACAGCAGAGGTGAGGGCTCCCTGCCCATGACATGAGATAGCAGAGCAGTGGTATTGTGTGGGAGGAGCTTGTGTTTAAGAGTAAAGGCAGGAGAGCAAGCTGAGAGAATAACCCTGGAGTGGAACAGCCACCCCCATGGAAAATGGTTTAAAAGTAACTTGATCCACTCCTGACAGAATGAGTCAGTTCTGAGGGGTGAAGTTCCTAGACCTAATTACCTTCCACTTTGCCCCTTAATTCTCATACTGTCCCACTAGGGGTCAGACTTGAAGCATATGAGTCTTTAGGGGATAAACTGTCCAAACTCTAGTAGGTGCCAAGCTGAATAATTAAACAGCTAGGACAGCTTCAAAAGAGCCCTTCAGTCTTTAAGTAAATGTAACAAAAGCACTTACTCCTAAAGGAACACCTAACTAACTGCCAGTTAACTCAATCATACTTAATTGTAATTTGTTTTTAATTTTAGAATTTCATGTCATCTGTTTGCAACATTCTTTTTGAAGCATTGTTTCCTGGATCTTCCTACTCAACTAGGTTTTCAGCTCTAAGCATTTTAGGATCAGTGGCTGAAGTGTTTGCTGTCTCAGAAGGTAAGCTTCAGCAATGTGTGGGAAGTGTACACTTGGTCAGCGTTTTGTTGTCTTTTTGTAAACGCCTTTTTAATACACGCATAGCTCTCATTTGTACGTAATGAAAGTACTAGTAAAGGGCAGGTGAGAAAGAAACTGTCTCCTCTTTCTGCTAGATGTCTGCTAGACACATTGCCACGTTTCATGGATCCTCGTGGTTTTACCACACCAGGACTTCCCGGACCTCAGTGCCACATTTGTTTGTGCTGTTATAAGAAAGGGCTTCATCTGTTAAGTCTAAAATGAAAACCATAATGGCTTATCTTATATCTAATAAAAAGATAAATGAGCCTTTGTGGTTAAAATGTGGTTTCTCATGTATGCCATCTACATTTTCAGAAATTACATGCTATAGAACAAAAAACATTGCATGACAACCAATTAAATTATCTACATGATACGTCTAAGTTGATTCCAGAGTAAAGAAACTATGAAGAAAAAGTGTAATTCTATAATTAGTAAAAAGATTGAAGCAGTCATCAAAAACATCTAGCCTCTGGGTATGATGATATGTACTTTTAATTCTAGCACTTGAAGGGCTGAGATGGGGGATCTCAAATTAGAAGCCAATCTGCTCTACCTAGCCAACACCCTGTCACACAGCAAATAAACAATCAAAGTATTCTAACAAAGCAAAATACAGGACAAGTGGCTTTACTGGTAAATTCCACCAAATATTTACAGTTTTTCCTTCTCAGTCTTTCCCAAAAAATGCAGAGGGGGGTGACCTCCTGACTCATTGTACAAAATTCATAGAAAAGCAAGTAAGGCTTGGAGGAGGGCCATCCGGGTGGTTCAGTGGTCTGTTCCAAGCCTGCCTGCCTGACATCAGTCCCTGAGTATTTGGAGGAGGGGCAGCAAGATCACTCAGTGGTCTGTGCCAAGCCTGACTATCTGAGATCAGTCCCTGATACCCATGTGGTGGAAGGAGAGAACTGACTCCCATAGGTTATCCTCTGACTTCTACATGTGCAGCCTGGCATGTGTGTGCACAGGCCCCAATAAATAAATGAATAAGTGCAATAAAAAATTAAAGGTAAAGGCTCTGAAAACTGTAGACCAGTATCTCTTATGAACACAGATGCAGAAAACCTCAAAAAAATACTACAGCAAACAAAACTCATCAGCATATTAGAAATATTGAACACAGGTATAGATGGAGGTTTCTTTCCCTCCTGGTCCCACAGCTTCTTTGCCCCAAATAAACACATAAAGACTTATCTTGAGTATAAATGTTTGGCAGATGGCTTAGGCTTCTTATTGGCTAGCTCCATCTTAATTACTAACCAATTTCCATTAATCTATGTATTGCCACAAGGCTGTGGCTTACCCATAATCCGGAATGTTTATTCCTTCAGCAGCATGGCTTCTCTCTCCCTCCTCTCCCCAGCCGCCTTCTGGTCTCGTAGCCCCACCTATGCATCCTCCTGGTTACTAGCCAATCAGTGTTTTATTCATCAACCAGTTAAGAGAAACACACACACACACACACACACACGCACGCACGCACGCACGCACGCACGCACGCACGCACGCACGCACGCACGCACGCACGCACGCACGCACGCACGCACGCACGCACGCACGCACGCACGCACGCACGCACGCACGCACGCACGCACGCACGCACGCACGCACGCACGCACGCACGCACGCACGCACGCACGCACGCACGCACGCACGCACGCACGCACGCACGCACGCACGCACGCACGCACGCACGTGTATATATCCCGTCATCTCCTTTTTTTCTATCTAAATAAAAAGAAAGATTTTAACTTTAACGTAGTAATATTATATATAACAAAACAGTTATCAAGGAAGAAATATTCTTCCTTACAATTTGTCAAAATTTAAAGAAAATATTCTGTCATCTATCCTGTCTTTGTGAGTCTAAAGTTTTATATGTAACATCTTTTATCATAACTAAGGAAAACCATAACTATCTGTTTTCAACTCTTTAAAGACCACAGAAGGATAATATATAAACTCTAGAATTGAAAGAGATATCTCATTGCCTGGACAGTCACCCAAAGTTCCTCTGTAATGTTGGAGCATCCATTTTTAGCCCATAGGCCTAGTGTGTCTGGCAGACTTCTCAGTGAAGCAGGAAATTTTACACTGTCCACCTGTATTGGTAATTTGTCAGTCATTTTTCTCTGTGTTCTGCAGAATGTCTGGCAGACTCTTCCATGAAGCAGGAACCCTTCAGGACTGTCCCATCTTGTTTTGGCAAATTCAGCAGTCACTTTCCTGTGTGTCCAGTTTGGACAGCATACAGTCAAACATTCCAGGCAAGAGCAGTTTCTTGCCCAAATGGCTGGTCTTGCCTTGTTGAAGGCAAACTTCATAATGAATTTCTTCAATGCCCATCTTCCTCTCTGAAGTAATTGGTATTGCTAGGAGCAGTTGTGTCTCATTCTCATGAAAAACCCTAAACCATTTTGAATGCCATATTCTGTAGGTCTTTGAAAGGTTTGAAGAATATCTATCCATTTGAAATATATCTCTGTATATCTAGAAAACCTAACTGACCATACATTTTGATTATTATAGGTGATTATCTATAATCTGTATTTAATTTTATATTATATTTTTAAATGAGCTGTATAAACAATACCTAAACAAGAGGTGAAATATATCTATAACAAATTGACCTTAAATTTGTTATCAGTAAATCAAAATCCATACCAATACAAAGTATTAATTTTTATATCATATTCTCCTTTTTTTTCTTAGAAGGAGATTTCATTAACCATTTATAGTCAACCCCATTTAAATAAAAAACATTTATAAACAATATTTGCGAATTTGGGCATAGTTCTCTCCAAACTTTGTGCTGCTGTTTGGTGTTGTTGTCAATTTCATGGGGATCCTTAGAAAACTCAGAAACCTGCCCAAATTCTGGCTGTAGTGGTCCATGAGGCTGCATGATCTCAGCTGTTTTGGATGTTGGATCACCTGGGCCAGTGCTTCAGGGGTTCTTGCTTCATAAAACCATATTAGTCTGGAAGGAATCCACAACTTTTTATTTTCTGTGGAAACAAAAGCAAGAATCTCTTTTCTAAAGTAATAGTCCTTAGACTTAAATTTAGAATTTAAAATATGTGAGTTGGATTAATCTAGCAGCATATATAATGCAATGTCTTTTTAGCAGCTGTTGCTCTTTCCTCAGCAATTAAACAATTTAAAGACAACTCAATAACATACAGTATCCAGACTCTGTATTTTTCCTCTTTATGTGGCTTTATTACTCTATTTCTTTTACTTTTATTTTTTGTTTTTTGAGACAGGGTTTCTCTGTGAAATTTTGGCTGTCCTAGAATTCACTCTGTACACCATGCTGGCCTTAAAATCACAGAGATCTGCTTGCCTCTGTCTTCCTAGTGCTGGGATTAAAGGCGAGTGCCAGAACACCAAGCTACTCTTATTTCTTTTTTAAGGACTTTATCCTTTTTCTTTTTTCTCCAAACCTATGTATATTTTAAAACACACCGTAAACTCTTTAGAGGTTTTTTCTTCATCTGAAACTGTCTTTACTGTGTATCTCTATCTTTTTCTGTCCACATGAGTCTTATCAGCTAAACAACATGGCTAAAATTAAAACAGACGTTTTAGCTGCTGGCTTTCCAACATGGTGGGGGTACATTTACCACCAGCACTGGGATCTGTGCTCACTGCTTCCGTCTGTGCATGCTGCTGGCTGCTCATAAACACCATTTAATTGTTTGGTAGCAGAGTTTCTTAAAAGAGCCTTGGGTTTTTGCTGCTAACACTGAATTAGGAAGCCTCTCTTAAAGGCGCCTCGAGTCTCTGCTTGTCTCTAGCAAACAGAGCCCACTGGAGAAAATGCTGCTACTAAGAAGCTGTGCTTGGCTTTGTTCTTTTGTTTTAAAATCCTTTTTTAAGCTTTTTATCAGGTTTTATGTGGAAATTCTTGCCCCAAGTTGGTAGCGCCATTTGAAGATGAGGTTTCTGTCCTGCCTGGTCCCACAGCTGCTTTACCCCAAGTAAACACACAAAGACTTACCTTAATTATAAATGTTTGGTGGGTGGCTTAGGCTTCTTATTGACTAGCTCTGTCTTGATTATTTACCCATTTCTATTAATGTATGTATTGCCATGAGGCTGTTTCTTGCCCGTAATCCAGCACACAGGGCTGGAGAGATGGTTAAGATGGTTAAGAGTATTTCTTGCTCTTGTAGAAGACCCAGGATCTATTGCTGGTATCCACATGGAAACTCAAAACCATCCATAATTCTAGTTCCAGGGAATTTTCTACCCTCTTTTGACTTCTGTGGGCACTAGGAACGTATGTGGTACACATACATTTATATAGGCAAAACACTCATATACATAAAATAAAAAAATGACTTAAAAAATGTGTACAGCCAGGCAGTGGTGGTGCAGGCCTCTAATCCCAGCACGTGGGAGGCAGAGGTAGGTGGATCTTTGTAAACTCAAGGCCAGCCTGGTCTACAAATAGAGTTCCTGGATAGCCTGCTTCCAGGTTGTTACACAGAGAAACCCTGTCTCAAAAACAAACAAGCAAACAAAACAATGTACCCTCCAACCGTGTGGTCTTTATCCCAGGAATTTGGGATGGGTCAAAATAAAATGATTATAGGATGTGTCATGCTTGTCATTTTGTGTCAGCTGATTTTGGATTTAAGATTTTGGATCTTTAAAAGATTTATTTTTATTATATGTATATGAATGTTCACCTGCATGTTTATATATGTACGTCTTCTGTATTTCTGGTGTCTACCAAGGCCAGAAGATGGCATTGAGTTCCCTGGGACTGCAGTTACAGATGGGTGTGAGATACCAAGTGGGTGCCGGGAACCAGATCTGGGTCTTCTACAAGAGCAGCAAGTGTTCTTAACTACTGAGCCATCTTCCTAACACCGTGAAGTTTTTAAAAACATGTGTTCCTAAATTTATTTTTTCATTTTTAGTTTAAAAGTATCTGAGAGATCTTCATGTCTTTTGAAAGAAAATAAAACTGTTTATTTATTTAAATTTTTTTCGAGATGAGGTTTCTCTGTGTAGCTTTGGAGCAGCTTTGGAGCCTGTCCTGGTACTCGCTCTAGAGACCAGGCTGGCCTTGAACTCACAGAGATTGACCTGCCTCTGCCTTCTGAGTGCTGGGATTAAAGGCATGCGCCACCACTGCCCAGCTAAGAATATAATGTTTTTTGTTTGTTTGTTTGTTTGTTTTTGTTTTTTCGAGACAGGGTTTCTCTGTGTTGCTTTGGAGCCTATCCTGGCCCTCACTCTGGAGACCAGGCTGGCCTCGAACTCACAGAGATTCACCTGCCTCTGCGCCACCAATGCCCTGCAGAATATAATGTTTATAAGTCTTAAAAATGTCTGTTTTGGAGGGAGGAGGATCTGGACTGGAATGTAAAAAGTAAATTAATAAAAAAAAAAGGGGGGAAAAAACAAAACAAGAAACCCAAAACTGTGTTTCATATTAGTAAAGCTGTAGTACCTTACCCATTTGAGGAGATGCAGTTTATGCTGCTGTGCATACATGATGTACACTGTGTAAGGATGGAGTGACATCTTACTGTGGATGAAGCAGGAAGTATGAAGTTCTGTACTGATCTTATATAAAGACGTGTCCAGATTACTTTGGACAGCTATTTATTTATTTATTTTTGTCTTTATTGTTGTTGTTGATTTTTGTTTTGTTTTGTTTTGTTTGATTCAATTTTAAATGATTTTCCTCTATTTAAAATTTTGAGGTAACATCCAACCAGTGTATCAGCTGAGTCATGATATCGATGCTGGCCGTTTCCAGATACTAATGGAATGTTTTACTAGTACTTTTGAAGAAGTGAAAACCTTAGCATTTGACCTTCTGATGAAGCTATCGTCGGTAACAGCCAGACAGTTCCAGGTATTTGGACTTTACCTATCTATATAAATGAGTATGTATGTAGAGCTTTTATTTTAGCTTAGATAAAGCTGTCAGAATTATCTTAGCTCTTTGCCTCCTTAGGTCTTTTGAGTATTTCTTTCAGTTTCTATCTGTCTCTGGTCCAGCAAAGTTAGGAAATTGTAAAAATCCACATCACTGAGCTATACTTTTTTAAATTGCTTCGATGGAAACAGGTATAGGAGGCAGTAGGTTTTGCTGTTTACAAGATTATTGGTAGATTTCAGTTATGTGGTCTCCATAGTTCCCTTGGTCTTGTAATATTTGCTCAAAACATATCACTTACAGTAATTTTGAGGTTTTAAAGATAATCTCCCTGATTAGTAGACTGAGAAGCTGAGTGTAAATGAGGTAGATAATGTGTTTCTGGTCTTCCAATAAGCAGTAGCTAAACCGAGACTGAAACCTCAGAATATTTGAGGTTAGCAGCAGTTCTCTGCAGAGGTGTTTGGCCCCAGCCTGCTCCCTGACACTGCTTTTTCTGCCTCAGTGTAGGAAACAGAGATGGGATTAGGAGCAAAGGCACGGTGTAGGGTAGGTCTGCAGGGACACCTAGCAGGCACTGTTCTCTTCCCTGTAATCTATTCTGGGCTTGTGTGCTCACCAGGAGCATAGCGTCTATAGAGCTTTGTTAGCACATTCCAGTAGCACTCTTCAGAGGCCAAGGGGCCTGCGGGGTGCTGCAGCCGTTGGTTTATATTTAGGGTATGCCGTGTAGCCTTATATCATCTTACAGGTGTGGGGCTTAGAGGAGCAGTGCCAGCCAAGACAGCACCATGTTGTTGTTTCTGTGTCTTTGGTATGGCATTGCAGGGTCCAGGTTAGGACCAGGTTAGGAATGGCTGCCCAGGATCTGTCTGTGTCCAGTTTTCCTGGTGCCTCAGTGAGCAGAAGGTTCTTTGCTGCCCACACTGCTAAACTCTTGTGCCCTATAGAGTTTAAAAAACGACTTTTCTCATGTTAGCACAATCTCCCTTACTGTTGGTCACATGTAGCCTTTTATGTAGATTATCTATGATTCATTCCTTTCAGAAAATGCTGAGAGGATCTGGAGTGAGAAGATAAAGTATAGAAAGAACTGGTTCTGACGGAGCCTGTGAAGGGGCTCTGAGAGGACCCCTGCCATAGAGATGCTGTGAGATTAAGAAATGTCTGCCCCACGTGGTTTAAGTTAGGATCTTGGTTATAGTGTCTGGTCCTGTTGCGTGTTAGTAAAATGGTCATGGACATAAATATTTAAGATTTTATAATAGGGCAGGCAAGATGGCTCAGTAGGTAAAGGTGCTTGTCACTGAGCCTTATAATCTGGTTTTGGTAGGGGGAAACAGTTCTAGTTGTCCTCTGACCTCCATGTGAGCACCATAGCATGTGCAAGTCCCTTTCATGTCCCTGCCCCCAAATAAATAAATGTAATTTAAATAAAAGAATCCATTTAAAGAAAGTTTTGAAAATGTTGGTTATATATTTCCATAGTCCTGTGTATCCTATGTCGTACATCATGTTTTGAACAGTATAAGTTAACATTTAAGTATTCCTTGAGTACTAACTAGCTTAACCTCTCTAGTCCCTTGTGTATAATATATGTTCATGATGGCATGTCTTTCTCATATATTTAATACTCGTCTGGTTTTTTACCCATCTTTCTGTGGGGCTACCAACCCTACATCTTTATGGTGTATTAATATTTTAAGTTTTTGAATTACATTTTCATTTATTTGTACGTATGTGCCACTGGAGTATGTGTATAGGCCAGAGGATAACTTGCAGAAGTTGTTTCTCTTTTCCCGTCATGTGGGTGTCAGGGATCTGACTCAGGTATTAGATACTGAGCCATCTCTAGGGTCCCTTTATTAAAGTAAGAAAGAATTTAGATAGAAATAAACTGACATTTAATATCTCCTGTTTGGAAATTTTAGACATCATCAAATGTCAAATCCAGAAATGAGTTTCTAACCCCTCTCGTTGCATTGTTATGGAACAATCCAAAAAGAACTATCATACTCCTGAGCAACTGAGCACCAATATCCAAAGTGGTGACTGTGTGGCTTGTCAGTTGTGGGATTGGGACTGGGATCCATGTCTCCCGCTGTCTCCTGGTGCCTTTCTCTTAGAGTGGCACAGGTGTAGGAGTTTGGATGCCAGGTCTCTGAGGGTGCCCTGGTCCTTTCTCCTCCATGAGGAGCCTTAGTTGTCTCTGTCATTCAAGAAACCAGTTTAGGGGAAAGGACAGGAATGTAGTGTTCAGTTAAAACATAAACCGAGAGAAAGAAAGCTAAATGAAACTTGTGCTCTGAGTAGATATAATGAATGTGGTCTGGCTTAGAGGCATACCAAAATTCCCAGGGAAGAAGTTTCCGTTTGCTGATTCAGTTTCCCAATTGAAATTACATTCAAGGTCTTCATCTCTGAAGTGATTAATGACTATCACCAAGTGCTATACCAAAAGTAGCCTACGTTCATGGAGAAGAGCATTCCATGGTCATTAGTGTTCACAGCTGGATGGTGGCCATGAACTTAAAACACACTGTTCCCTCAAGCTCCCCTCTGCTCTGCTCTAGGATGCTGAGAAACTGCAAGGCCTGTTCCAGGCAGCATTGGAGCTCAGCACCAGCACAAAGCCATACGACTGTGTGACCGCCTCCTACTTGCTGAACTTGCTGATATGGCAGGATGCTCTGCCGGCCTCCCTGACTGCCTCTCAAGCACAGCAGCTCACACACAGGGCACATGGGGCTGCAGAGAAGGCTACTGTGCTGGAAAGGAACACGCTAGTAGGTTTGTATTGAGAAAGTGAATTTTCTTGTCACTTACCAAACCCTGTATTTTAATTTCTTTTTGGCTAGAGTACCTAATGGTTCAGGAGTTACTTGTTTTTAAGAGTTTACAAACACATAATAATTAGTAGTTTACTCATCTTTGACACCTATTTTTTGTTTGTTTTTTTGAGACAGGATTTCTCTATTTAACAGACTTAACTGGAACTAACTGTATAGACCAGGCTGGGGCCTCTGTCTCCCGAATGCTGTGATTACTGCGTGCACCACCACACCCACCTATTTCTAAACAGAAAACTTATGCTAAATAATGAGATACACAAATGTACATTAATGGACACCTTTTGATGGGGCATCTTTTCTTTGTCCATTTACAGTGCACTTTTTCTCATAAGGTAGTTTTCGCTGTGACCAGACAAGTCATCCTCGTGTGTTGCACACAGCAGAGCTACGCTGATGTTGGGTTCTCTCTCCAGCCCTCACCTTAACTTTTGAGACAGAATCTCTTCATTGAACTTGGAGCTTGCCATTTCTGCTAGACTGCCTGGCAAGGACACCTCCAGATTCTGCCTGTCTCTGCATCTCACCCCTCCAATGGGGTTACATATGTGTACCAACATGCCAACTTTTGTATCAGTGCTGGTGATCCCAGCTGAGAGCATCATGCTTGTATAACACTGAGCCAACTCTCCAGCTTCCCCAGCCTCCCTCTCCCACTTCCTATTCTTTTCTTTTTTTTTTTTTTTGAATAGGACCTCATGTAGCCCAGGTTGGCCTGAACTTGCTGTGTAGTCAAGGGTGATCTTGAGCTTCTGCTCCTCCTGCCTTACCCAGTTATGCAGTGCAGTACAAGGAGTTGAGCCTGGGACTTTGTGCATGCTTGGCAAGCGAACAGCAAGGACTGGAAGCAACACTCAGCACCACCAGGCTGAAGGGAAATGTAGACCAAAATCACAGAGAGGAAAGACTTCATTTCAAGTGGGATGTTGAGATAGAAACATCCAAATTACAAATATTGTTGAATATGTACTGCTACGGCTGAGGGTGTGCATACATTCAGCCTATAAATACCCAGAGAAATAAAAGCATAAGCCCAGATAAGAACCATACAAGAATGTTCATAGCAGCATTATTCATACTTGCCTGAAAGTGGAAATCAGCCATGTGCACATCAGCTGCTGAATGGATAAGTAAAAATATGTTATGCCTGTAGGGTGGGCTCCATCCATATGAAAGAATGAATTATTGATACAGCTTTGATGAACTTTGAAAACACTATGACAAGTGCTCAGAGCCAGCCACATGTTACTTTATTATATTTATAATCTGTCTAGAATAATATGACTAGAATAGAAACTGTCTAGAATTTTGTTTTGTTTTGTTTTTTTGAGACTGGTTATATAGACCAGACTGGCCTCCAACTTGCTATGTAGCCAGGCTGGTCCTGAGCTCCTGATCTTCTCACCTCAACTTCCCTAGTTCTAGGATTATAGACAAGTATATACCACCACACCTGGCTAAGAATAGGCAAATCTATTGGGACCAAAGTCAGTGGTTACTCAGCATAGAGCAAGGGTAGAGCTACCATGAGACGAGTGACTATTGCTTCTGAATAAAGGTTTTTGTTTAAGTTTTGTGTGTGTATGTATCAGTGGGCAGTAAATATGTTCTAGAATAATGCTTATATTTGCATATATCTGACAATAGAAAAAGTTGACTCGTACACTCCTAATTTGTATTGCATTTATGTGTGTGCATGCACGCATACACGTGCAAGTGTGTGTATGTGTGCATGCGTGTGTGCACGTGCATGTGTGCCTGTGTGTATTTGTGTGCATGCACGTGTGTGTGCATGTGTGTGCGTGCGTGCATGTGTGTGTCTGTGTGTGTGCATGCGTGCATGTAACACTGTGGATGTTAGAGGACAACTTTGGGAGTTAGTTTTCTTCTCCCGCCACATGGGACCTGGAGAGTTAACTCAGGCTATCAGGTTTGAAGTTGCTTTAGCCATGGAACCAACCATCTTATTGACCCAACTCATCACTTGAAATGTATGACTTGCATGGTGTCTGAATTGTATCTTGATTATACTGTTCCTAAATATTATCTTTGACCAAATAGTCCATGCTACATGGTCCTGGAGCTTGACACCTGGCTAATGGTTATCTAAAAGGTTTGGTTCAGAGTGAATATCATCGTTAATACTGGCAATTAAGTGAATGCATTCCATTCTTTAACAGTGTCTTAACTAGAAATTGGTAACAGGCTTTGATACTCCTGAAAAATCTTTTTTTGAGACAAGGTTTCTCTGACTGTCCTAGAACTCACTCTGTAGACCAGGCTGGCCTTGAACTCACAGAGGTCCACCTACCTCTGCCTCCCAAGTGCTGGGATTAAAGGCGTGTGCCACCACTGTGCGGCCACCCCTGAAAAATATTTGATTTGAAACCTCTGATGTAGGGGCAGGTGAGATGACTCAGTTGGTAGCTTGCTTGATGTGCACACATGAGGATCTGAGTTGGGATCCTAAAAAGCCAGATGTGGGAATGAGCATCTGTCATTCCAGCCTGGGGAGGCAGAGACAGGGAGTTTGCCAAAGCCAGCCAGCCAACCAGCCTCGCTGACTCAGTGACCCATAGGTTCAGTGACAGATCCTTTTTCAGAAAATAAGGTGGAGAGTGATCAGCGAAGGTATCCAGCATTGACCTCTGGCTTCTACATGCACATATGTGCATGTGTATGCACTCAGAAAACCTCTAGTACCGTGGTTCTCAACCTGTGGGCTGCGACCCCTTTGGGGGTCGAATGACCCTTTCACAGGGTTGCCCAAGATCATTGGAAAACACAGATATTTACATTACAATTCATAACAGTAGCAAAGTTACAGTTATGAAATAGCAACAAAATGATCTGAATGTTGGGGGTCACCACAACATGAGGAACTAGGGTCACAGTGTTAGAAAGGTTAAGAACCACTGCCCTAGTATAACATTTAGTTGAGTCGGGTGTGCTTGTTTTCTATAAATAAATTATAATTTTTTTTTTTTTTTTTTTTTTTAGCTTTTTGTTTTGGGTTGGTTTTGGTTTTTCGAGACAGGGTTTCTCTGTGGCTTTGGACTGCCCTGGAACTAGCTGTTGTAGAGCAGGCTGGTCTCGAACTGGCAGAGGTCCACCTGCCTCTGCCTCCCGAGTGCTGGGACTAAAGGCGTGCACTACCACTGCCTGGCATAAATGTGTTTTTGTTTTGTTTTTTTAGTTAGGGTCTTCTAAAATTTTCAAGAGTGTAGAGTATTCTTAAGACCAGAATTTGAAAAACATTTGCTTTTCTGTATCTTTCTAGGCATCCAACTAGTATTTGATGAGCATATATTCTTTGTCTATACATTTGTTGTTGAAATTATTGAAGAAGGCTGGGCAAGAATTAATCCATCCCTGATGTTTCTCTGGATGGATTGCACCAAGTTGTTATAAGTTTGTTGATCTAGTCACTTGTACTCTATCCATTATAAATGAACTAGTATATTGTCAGAAATGTGTCAAATATCTAACTGAACAAGATATGCCATATCTTTGCCTTACATTTCCCCTTTCAATCTAATAATCCAACAGAAATTGTATACTTTGACCTTACTCAATAAGTGTATTTTATAACTGAGGCTATTGTTTCTGTTTGCTTTTTTCTAGTCATTAAATGCTTGATGGAAAATCTTGAGGATGAAATATCTCAGGCCGAGGACTCTCTGCTTCAGGCTGCATCCTCATTTCCAATGTATGGGAGAGTCCACTGTATAACAAGAGCTTTTCAGAAGTTGCCTCTCAAGTAAGAATATCCACAGCTATCTTGTTTCAGAAACACACTTATGTCCGGCATCTACCTTCTTACTGGAGTGTGTCTTGGGAAAGGAGCGTTACCATTGTCTTAAAAATAATTGAAAATTAGATTTAATTAGCTATCCACGTATACATATATTTTTAAATCCCTAATATTTCATATATCACACAGTTTCAAGCCACAGATTCTTTCAGCTGCTCTTTTGTGTTAATTTCATTTCTAAGCTGCATTTTTTGCCTTTTAGTATAATGTCTCTGCTGTGTTTGTTGCAGTGACCTGCGGTTGGTGAGTGAGTGGAGGCCAGTGGTGGAGGGACTTCTGCTGCTGTCCTACAGGCTGTCTGCTGTGGTGTCTCCTGTCATCCAGAGCTCCTCCCCTGAAGGCCTCATCCCTATGGACACGGACTCAGGTGAGCAGACGAGGCCAGCACCATTGTCTTTCTCTATCTTGTTATTCCTTTGGAGAGGTAGAAAAGCTAAACTTAGGGAAAAGTCCTTTCTTGTCATGATATGTCTGATGTTTTTAGTAATACTTTAACTATTGAAAAGTAGCCCCCAGCAGGAAAGACATTGTACACAATGCTTACACTGGTAAGGTCCTCTCTTCCTGTAGACAAACTTCCCATCTTCCCACAGACAGACTTAAAGTAATTCACTGAGTTACAAAGACAAAGAGGAGGGCATGAAAGTAGAAGAGGGAGGGACAGTTGGGACAGAGAAGGGGATCAGTAGGTGTGAGGACAAGAGAGGGAATGCAAGGGGAATATGGTCAAAGTATGCTATAAAATTATATTCATCGTTAGTTCCGTAATTAAATTCAGGAACTTTTGTCTGCTTTTCCCTAATCCCTGCCTCTTTGCATCTGTTCCTGCAGTGGATCTGCAGGCAAGCCAGGGATTCAGGGCTGCTCAACAGTCTCGCTTCCCCTATCCAGTGCATTTCCCTTTGCTTTCAGCATTGCCCTTTAAAACTCCCACATCTCTTTCCCTTTTCTCTGCACCTTCTCCCCTCTCCAGGTCATTTTCTGTTTTCTTAGGCTATCCTAGGTCCTTCCCTATGGATTTCCCTGCATTCTTACTCACCTTCTTCCATTTCCTTTTAATAAAGTTCAAATTATTTTCTCATAGCCATGTAATTTATCATTTGAATGGCACATAGTCTAGCCTTTTGTTCTGTCCCACTTTGATACTTTAGTGCCCTCCGATCGTATCCTGTCATGGCTTGGCCTTTGCTTGCTGTCCAGCCTGCCTCCAATGTTCTTCTCACCAGGAGCTTTCCTTCATGGAACTCACTTTACAGGAAAGGCGCCTGTGCGTTCCTGCCTGTGGTGAAAATTAGTGAAGATTTGTGATACTGAGACAGCTCATTATTTCAACTCATGCTAAGCTACCAAATTTTGAGACTTTAGTTTTCTTAGTACATCTTGCTAATACTTGGCTCAGGCAACTACTGGTAGATTCTGAATGAGCAGTCTTGACTATTTCAGTTCCCTAATGTAGGTAGATCTTGTAGAGTATGCATAAGAGGTTTTGTTATTATTTAAGAGTAGACAGGAGGAGCTGGGCAGTTGTGGGAGAGGGAAAAGAATATAAGAAAATTTTAGAAGAGTAAAAAAGATTTTAAATTTAAAAAGATTGGTCTTAGATACTGTTTTAACCTCATAGACTTTTCCTGAATTCTGCCTTCCCACAACCCCCTCAGTCTTTTTTTTTTTTTTTTTTTTTTGCTTCTTCCATGTTTTATAGGCTATATACTCTGAACCCCCTTGAAAAGGGTCTTCTCTGAGAGCCTTAGTTAGATGGGTAGGATTCCTAAAATTTTGTTCTGGATAGTAGTGTTATTTTTTTTTTTTTCCTGGCTGTTAAAATTTGCTTTTTTGACAAAATTGCAAGGAGGCAACTAATGTGTTGGTTGAATGCCTACAAACACAGTTTGGGCCAGTGTGTTTCCCACAGTGCCTCAATAGATGTGTGCCATCTATACCTCCTCTAAGGTTGTTCCCTTCATTCCATGTGATTGGTTACCTGTTGTTACTTTTTAAAAATTAGACCTTGGGTGACTTCTTACTATCCATCCATTGTCCCATTCATTCTGCTCAATTCCCTGAACCTCTGTATTGAGCCAGGTTTGTTCTAGGCACTGGTGACTCACAGTGAACAGAGGGCTGCCTTCCTGTAGTCTACTAAAAGATACTTCATGAAACATTAGCACTGTACATCATGCTGAGAAGGGCATATCTTTTGCTTTTCTAAACCAAATACATAATTTTTTAAAAAATAATTTATTTAACTTTATGTGTATTGGTGTGAAGGTATCAGATCCCCTGGAACTGGAGTTACAAACAGCTGTGAGCTGTCATGTGGATGCTGGGGATTGAACCCAGGTCCCCTGGAAGAGCAGTCAGTGTTCTCTCTGATCCATCTCTCCAGCCCCAAATACGGAATTTTTATATGCCTATGCTACAAAAGATCGTGTGGTGTTGATTTTTTTTTTTTAGCTATTACCACACATCTTTATCTTTCAATCTTGATAACTTAATTTGTAGGCGAGGGAAGCAAACTTTACTGTCCTTCTCTCACATGATTAACCCCTGTAACTCTTAAGGAAAACAGCGATCACAGCCTTTAACAGTGGATGTTTGAACTGCGATTTGTCCTGTCTTCAGCCTAAACTATGGTATCTTAAGAGCACCCTCTAAATCATGAAGACCCTATGGAAGTAACTTCATATTAGCTATCCTGTGAGCACAGGGATTGTTGGCTGTTGGAAACTACAGCAACTGATTTAGTTCACGGAAATTTGCACAACATGGAGCTTGGCATTCTTGCATACTTACCTTTTTTTCAGAGTCAGCAAGCCGCTTGCAAGTCATTCTCAATGAGATTCAGCCACGGGATACTAACGCTTATTTCAACCAAGCCAAAATACTGAAAGAATGCGATAGCTTTGATTTGGAGGACTTGAGTGCCAGTGTCTCAAATATTGATAGCTCTGCAGAAATCAAAGGTAAGATACATGCAATTGATATTGTGGTCAGCAGGGTGTTGTGTTTTGTTTTATTTTGTGTGTGTTTCTGGGACTTGAACTCAAATTCTTGTAAGGCATGCTAAGCAAGTGTTGTACCAGCAAGCCTATACTACTGTACACTGACCATAAGTATCTCAGTAATATAAACTATGTAGACTGTCTTTTTAAAAAATTGTTTTAAAGTGTGTGTGTGTGTGTGTGTGTGTGTGTGTGTGTGTGTGTGTGTGTGTGTGTGCATTCCTAAGTACAGGTGTCTGTGGAGACCAGAGGTTTCAGGTGCTCCTGGAGCTGAAGTTACAGGCAGATGTGAGTTTCCTGATGTGGATGCTAGACCCAACTTGGGTGCTTTAAGAGCAGTACACACTCTTAACTGCTGAGCCATCTTTCCAGCCCTAGAATGCCTGTTAGATATAATAAAAGAGAGTTCAGATTCGCAGAGTGTGTCTGAAAAGCAAAGATTGTTCTTTCTAATTTATGTTTTAGAATGACTTTATAAGAGCTTTATCAGAAAGTGGTATGCCTTAGTTCGACATAGACGATGCTATAACACAAAACTTTGGAGGATAAAACTCTTTAACAGCCCAGCTGGTAAGAGTAGGGCCATGTGATGGTGGATCTGGTGTGATGGCTTCACCTTCTCCCAGCTGCACAGTTTCTGGTGTCTTCTGTGGGAGCTCTTGGGGTCAGCATCCTTTTAAAAGCAGAATGTGAGCTTCTGTCTTACACCAAGCCACCAGAATTCCAGTCTGCATTGCTTGCTCTGTCAGGTGTTACTAAAAAAGTTATCACAAGAAGGAAGTTCTTAGCAATTTACCCTGTTGCTGTATTCTCCACTAGGTGGGGTTACTGACTTGCAATAAAATTCTCTTTGCAATTGTAAAATTACAAAACTAAGCTTTCACTGTCATAGTGAAATATAAATTTAAAACAGAATAAAGCCATGTTCCATTTCTTCCTCGGTTCTACCCAGCTCCCATTTTATATATACCCATACTGTGTATTTATGTGTAAGTGCATTTATTCTTTTAGCTTAGGGGGCTTTCCCTTTAGAAGCCAGGTAGAATAAATGGTTTTGTTAGCTTCCTTTTTACCTTAATAGAATGTTTTTTATGTCAGTACTAAAATACACTTAAAACTAGGGTAAGAAAATAAGTAGGGCATTTAGCTTATTTGCCATGTGATTTATTTAGAAAGATAATTGGTATTTTCTATTGATTTTAAAAGTTATATCTTGGGGCTAGAGAGAGAGCTTAGCAGTTAAGAACACTCTCTGTTCCTTTGAAGGATCCCGGTGCTCCCAGAACCTACACTCTAGCTCACAGCTGTCTGTACCTCTAGTTCCAGGGAATCCAGTGCTTTCCTTTGGCCTCTGTGGGCACCAGTCACACATGTGGTGCACAAATATACAAGCAGGCAAAGCAAAGCATCCATGTGCATTAAAATCCAAAGAAATATTAAAAGTTCTGCTTAGGGACTAGAGAAGTAGCGAAGAGGTTAAGAGCACTTGCTCTTCTCTCTCCTCCCTACCTCTCTTCCTCCCTCCCCTCCCCCAATTCTCTCTCTCTCTCTCTCTCTCTCTCTCTCTCTCCCTCTCTCTCATGCTGTAATCCTAATACTCAGGATGCTAGGTCAGGAGAGTCGTGAATTTGAGATGTCTGAGCTACATGAGGAGGTCCTGTGTATAGAAAAGCAAAACCAAAACAGTAACAGCAACATTTTTATCCACTCTTTAATTGATAAAACAGCCATTCTCACCAAAGTAAAAAAGAAGTACTTTTTTTAAAAATAAAGTACTTAACTGTATAATATTTTATAGGTACCAGAGAGGTGGGAAGTTTGTTTCATTAACATTCAAATATTAGTCCTAAGTTTTGAGGTAGTATTATGATTCATTTTAAGTGTCTTTGAAAGTAACAAATTAAAAAATTAGCATGCTCCCCCCAAGTGTGTACTGTACAAATGTTAGCATGTTTTGTTTTGTTTTCTCTGAATAAACAGAACATATGACAAATTGGTTTGTTCAAACAGATCATTCTTGGGGAAATTATGAATAGTGTGTTCTAAGAAACCTGGGTGTGAGGAATCATAGCTGGTGTTGCAATAGTTTTTGTTTTGTTCCTTAAGGTAAAGAAACAAAAACCTGTGATGTCACTGCTCAGATGGTCCTGGTGTGCTGCTGGAGAAGTATGAAGGAAGTCGCCTTACTTCTAGGTACACTCTGCCAGCTTCTCCCCATGCGGCCTGTGCCAGAATCTTCTAATGGCTTATTAACAGTGCAGCAGGTAAGGTGGATGGTTGGTCATTCCTTCAGGCATCGGTTTTTGGCTAAAGCATAGTCTGTCATTTGTAGATCAACTTTTAAAAAACGTTTGAACCTTAAATATTTTACAGATGCCAACTGAAAAAGGTTCATGGTAATTTTTAGGATATTAGACCTTGCATTATATTTTTAAAACATGGCATTTTAAAAAGTATTTTATATCAATAATTAGAGATTTGCCTCACTTTTGATTGCAACATTGTTATTTAACATACATAAACTTGAATTCCAGCTGAGATTTTTCTGTTTCGTAAGACCTCACACGTGTCTTAAAAAGTTCAGAGGAATAAAAAGTAACATGGGTTGTTCATGCTCTTGTGTCGTTGTTGTGTCCCCCCTCCCCCCCAACCCCCTTCAGTAGTAAAGCTGCAGTCCCTTAAAGCTTTTGGCTGACTTTCACTTCAGACCACAAGTTAGCTAAGCATCTGGGGCTGCTCAGGGCTTGAGTGCCGTGTTTACAAGAAACTAACTCACCACAAGCGTTTCATTTGGAAATATTGTAGATTTATTAGATTTTTGTTTTTAATTGATTCCTTCTTCCTTTCCATATGGTTTCAACAAATCCATTTCCTCAGTTTCCCAGCAAAGATATATAGCACATACTTTAATTTTTAACCTTTTTCAAATAAAGATAACTCCCCCCACACCCAGGGTATTACAACATTCAAGAACAAAACAAATGCTGTAGTATGTTAATGCTGATTATTCCTGCAATAACCATGTGACTAGCACCATGGAAATAATGCTAATGTTTTTATTCTCACACTGGCTCATGTACTTGCATCTGGCTAACAGCTGGGCCAGTGATGTTGCAAGGCCTTGGAAAAGCACAGGGCAAAGGCGAGCAGCACATTGTAGGCGGTGTGTTCCTCAGTCTCTTCCAGATCAAATAGGCCTTGGTGTCCTAGAATTACTTGGAGCCATGACTCCGACTGGCAATAGTGCCAATGCCTGCTCCTAGCTGAGGAATCTGGTTATGATCAGCCATTTCCCTGGTGAAAATCCCCCATCTTGTTATGAAGTAAGCTTGTGCTAAGTCCCCTGACTTGTCAACCTCTCTTTTCAAGGACAAATTAGAGAAAATACATTTTGCTTTCTACTATAACTGAGAAAGGTTGAAAGCTCTCCATGAAAACTATTTTGCCTTGACACCTTTCCATCACCCCCAGAGTTTGTATTGTAATGAATTTATGTGGAACAACCACATTAAAGTCGGCAACTAACATAAAAGAGATTAAAAAAAAAGAAAACCCTAAAAGTAAACAAATAAATTGTCGCATAAACTAAAGAAGTCTTCAGTGTTGTGAATAAATAGACTCTTGCCCATTAACACAAAAAGCATTACTCTGCGTTGTGATGAGCCACACTGTCTACCGATGTGCTTTTTACATGCTAACCTCACATTCAGCTGTCTGAGAAGACGTTACTGGCTTGATGAAGGATCAGGGCTCCATGTAATTGCCATGTGTTAACAGAAACTGTTCTCTGTTGTTTCTCAGAGACAGGGTTTCTCTGTGTAGTACTGACTGTCCTGGGACTCACTCTGTAGACCAGGCTGGCCTTGAACTCATAGAGATCCATCTGCCTCTGCCTCCCGAGTGCTGGGATTAAAGGTGTGTGCCACCACTGCCCCACTAGAAACTGTTATCTGTGGAAAGTTTTACTCTTAGTTTTGTTGGCTTTTAAACAATGTCTTAGCTTAGGAACATAGTCCATGACATTAATGTCATTTATATTACTATAGAGTTTCTTCTTTTCTAAACATAAAATTGCTTCTTTTAAAAAAAGTTTTTTTTTAATTTAAATATTTTAGTTTTATTTTATAAGTATTTGCTGTCATATAGATGTGCATCAGTTGTATTTCTGGTGCCCGTGGAGGCTGGAAGAGGGCCTCAGATCCCCAGAACTGGAGTTACAGATGGTTGTGAGCCTCCATGTGAGTGCTGGGAACAGACCCCTTTTGCAAGAACAGAATTGCCCTTCATCCATTCCATTTGAGACATGGCCTTGTTATGTGGCCCAGACTGGCCTTCCAAGTGTTGGAATGACAGCCAGTTCTAAGTTATGCTTCTGTGAGTCAGAAATAGTCCCATGTACCTGATACTTTTAAGAATTAAAAATGGAAATGACAGAATATAGTTTACATCAGGGTGTCTGGTTGTACCTAAGGTAAATTCATAAGTTCAAGGACACATTTGCCCTGGCAAAAGCTACGTTGGCTGTATGTAGCTGGTGACAAAACCATCAGTTTGAGAGTATACCTCTCAGATGAATGTGACTACCCCAGACTTATTTCTGTGTGGCTAAAATACTGACCCTTAGGTAGAGTCTCCTCTCTCACCTTTCTCGCCCAGCTCTTTGAAGAGCGCCCAGATTTTATGGCCTCTGTTTGGGGGTGGCCACTTAAATAGCACACACATGAAAATGATTTACAGCAGGCTGACCGGAATCAGGGTGGCGGTTTGGAGATTTGTGTTGCTCTATGAGAGGAGAGCTGGTTGGTGGTTCTGAGTTTTCAGGGCTTGGGCCATGGAAGGGTTACCCATCCCCATGCTGCTCTCCAGCCCCCTTAGCTATGAGGAAACCAAAACCCCTGCTGGTTGTTCATTACCTGCTTTTCCAAAGGTCACAGAGCTTGTTTCTGGCCTCCCTCAGATGGAACCCAATTTTGTCCTTCCCATCGTGGCTTTACCTGGCACTGTGCTCTATTTTGAGTGGTCATTTAAGTCTGCTTCAAGTTGAATTTTCCCCTTCTCCATTACCCAAGCCAGTTTTCTCTACAATGGAAGATAACTTTTATTTTGAATTTCTTAGTACCTAATCCTGCCTGTAGAGCAGTTCTTGTGAAGCAGTGTGCTCTCCCCTGCTCCTTCAAGAAGTGTTCAGCAGTGACATGTCTGACTTTCCTCCTGCTCTCTAGTCACACAACGAAAGGTTCTTTCCTGTGCCCCTATACTCGAGGCAGAGAGAAAGCCACTTTGAGGCCTGGAAGTTGAGGCCCTTCAAGAGGGAGCAGTATACACAGCCTTATCTCACTGGTGTGTGTCTGGGTTTCTAACCTGACCTTTTGCTGAGAGATTTTGTTGGACCTCTTTCTAGTGTGCTGGCTGATACTGATTTTTAAAACAACTGCTACATTGAATATCAACTTCATTGTAGATTTCACCTAATATTTCTAAAAAGAGGCTTTTGAGTAAATTTTCATACCTGCTTCACTGCACACCCACTGGAAATGATTACCTCAGTAATCATGTGAGCAAACATACTGCCAATGCAGAGAAAGCTCCCGCTGTAGACTCTGTCATTATTTGAATGATTGGTTGGTGCATTTCCTCTCTTGTCTCATTATTTAATTTTTTTGTAACGGATTATAAATGTAATTTACATTTATTAGTATTCATAAGTCATAAAGGAATTGCCTTTTTTGTTTTATTGCTTTAGATTTTAGAAATTATAAGTATATTGATATATAATGAATGGAAGTTATAACTTTTTTTTAAAGATTTTTTTTTATTATGTCTACAGTGTTCTGCCTGCATGCCAAAGAGAGCATTAGATCTCATTACAGATGGTTGTGAGTCACCATGTGGTTGCTGGGAATTGAACTCAGGTCCTCTGGAAGAGCAGCCAGTGCTCTTAACTTCTGAGTCATCTCTCCAGCCTGAAAGTTGTAACTTTTAAGCTTTGCAGTGAACTTTAGAAGAGAACACATCATTTAGTCCCTATTTATTGACTGCCTTACTACTTGGGTATTGTAGGAACATAAAGAAGACTTATATGTGGTTCTGTGACCTCATAGAGCTAAGTAATATACTAATGAAATAAAACTGGGATTAACTTTGAAAACTCAAGCCTGAAGGGCAACAGTTAAAATGGCTCTTGTGAAGAATTTGCTAGAAAGCAAACACTGAACTTTGTGGTAATGTCAGCACACCAGAAATCCATTGTAAGTATGTAGAGGAACAATATTTGGATTTTGAAAAAAATCCTAATTGTTAGGAATCATTTAAATGGAGAAGAATGGCTTTGAACATTAATTATTGTATTGGGGTTTATTTGTGGAGCATCTCATGTAACCAATGGAATTAGGGTCTCTTGACTGTAGACATTCCCAGGCTTAGAAGAAAGGCTTTTGTTTTAACATCAGAATTTGAATTAAGAATCCCTATTTTATAGTACAATGTCAAACCAAAAGTAGACATTTATAGATTGCTGTTATTTGATGGTAAGCTATAAATGCCTGGAGACCATGGGATGTGGCTGTTTTCCCCTGTGGATTTGTGACCTATAAATCCATAAGAGATGCCTATTTGCTTTAGAGTTTTATAAAAAGTCTGAAGAAGAATATGTTAAATTTAAAAGATAGTGACATGTTTGATTTTAAGATTAAAAATAAGTATCTTATTTTTTTATTCACTTTTACCTTCATTTTCTTCTGAATATCCTGAGATGTGTGTTTGCTGGCTTGTGCCTGTATTCCTAGTACTTGGGAAGCTGAGGCAGGAGGATCATCAGTGATTCAGTGCCAGCCTCAGCTGTGTAGTGAGTTCCAAGCAAGCTTGAACTGTAGAATGAGATCCCGGCTCAACTAAAAATAATAATAAAATATCTTGGAAGAATTTTTTTTTAATGTTACAAGTTTGTAAAAAGCACAATCCAAAAAGAAAACTCTTTGAACTTCAGAAACTCAGTGGTTTCTAATGAAACAGTTGAGTTTTCAGGGACCCTTTTTGTTTTAAAGACTAACTAGAAAAGTTCTGGGCTAGAGAGGTAGCTAGGTGTGTTAAGTGCTTTTTGTCAGGGTTGATCCCCAGGGCCCATGTCCATCCTTTGACCTCTGTAGGCACCCTGTATACACACATACACACAAATAAGTAAATGGTGGTAAGTTCTTAAAGTTCTGTTTCTGATTCTTACTATTGCTACCATTTTCTGAATGGTTGGAGTCAACTCTGTTCTCTGTAGTCTGGCTGTTCACTGAGGGGATGTCCATAGGAAGTTTTTGTCCAGCTGCTGCTCACAGAGCCCAATACCCTGCTTACTCTCCCACCTGTAGGAATTGGGTTCATTGCTCCTCCCTGCCTGTCCTACACCTCTGTCTACTATAAAGCCTCTAGGGCATTCTGGGTCTGCCAACCTGGCCTGTGGATGTTAGCTTTGCACCCATTCAAGTGTCTGGTTAATGGCGGCTGCTTAGTAAATGTTTATTTGTTTAATGTATAGCCTCTTCTCTTTTGGTCTACCTCAGCACATATACCCTGTGTGATAGGTGAGCATGAACCCTGTTTTTTGGTTTTTGTCTTGTTTTGTTTTGTTTTTGTTTTTGTTTTTGTTTTGTTTTTTTGAGACAGGGTTTCTCTGTGGCTTTGGAGGCTGTCTGGGAATTAGCTGGTCTCGAACTCACAGAGATCCTCCTGCCTCTGCCTCCCGAGTGCTGGGATTAAAGGTGTGCACTGTCTTCCCCCCACCCCCTTGTGAACTCTGTTTTAACTTTAGTGCAGACAGGCCTTTTGTCTCTTGGAAGCGTGGTGTAGCTCTCATTACACCCAGTGTTTTCTCTACAGGACTTAACTGAAAGCCAACTAAGGTCACACGTCCTGTTTTCATCCTCTTTGTCTGCTCGTAAGCTCCACAGAATTAGACAGGATGTCCAAAACACTTGACAATGATTTTATATGTCTGCAAGGGCAAACATTCACAAGTGTTTTTAGAGATTAAATGTGAAATAAAATGAAGAAAAACTGTCTATATTTCACTCTTGTACTTAAGAGTTTTATTCTGACTGCTAAGGTTGGGATTACCTAGAGCTGAGGATCCACTTGAGAAAGACCACCCACAGGCATACTTCTGAGTGCATTATTTTTACTATATGCTTTTTAGTTTAGCCTTTTGAAAGAAGTTAGTATAAAGGAAACAATGAAAAGAATGACCTCTGCTTAAGGAGAAGATAGTGAACTGTTACAAATCCTTAGAGAAGGCCTTCATGAATAGTGTTCGTTTTTATTGAAGTATGTCGCAATATCTGTAATGTTTTAGGGAGAAGAATTAACTAAGAGACCTTTTGTCTTTACTTTCTCTGTTCTGAAATACCTTCTTAGTAACCTCTTACTTGTGTAATGATAAAAATTGATGCTTTGAAAAAAATGTTTTAGCTGAAGGAGGGAACATAGTACCCCAAAGGACATAGCATAGTTCAGTGGCTCTCTTTGTTCAGAACAAATACAGCTAATTGTCAATTATGTTTTCATTAAAATTAATTGTTGTGCCTTGTGCTTAATCTTACCTAGAGAACATAACATGTTGGGAAATGATGGCGTGGCATCCTGGAAGATTCCACAGTTGACTTAAAGTGCTGCTTACTGACTTTTAGGCGGGACTTTTACTAAGCCTCACTTGTAGTCTTAGTGTATCTCTACAATGGAATGTGAATGGACGTGGCTTCTCAGTTTAAGTTGAAAAGGTCTTTGCGTGGATAATGTTCACAGGGCTCAGCAGTGCCACTGTGCTTCCTGTAAAGAGGAAGGAATGGTAAATTTTCTTATGCATATTTTACCACAATAAATGCAAAATATGAAGAGCAAATATAATTGTCTCTGAATCATGTGTGGGTGTTTATTGCTCTTTGTGTTTTTTATGTTGGTGTTGAATGACATGAGCTATCAGACATATTATGAAATTTGCAGATCTGGCATGATCAGGCATCTCAGTAGCAATTATTGATGGAAGACTCCCTGTTTTACTGTCCTGCTTACCTGCTGTGTGACCTTAGATGAAGTTATGTAGCCTTTCTGTGCCCAGGTTTCCCTATTGTGGATTACAGATAACAGTAGTATTTGTTTCGTGGAATTTATTATGAACAGTTAATGAGTTGCTATCAAAAGCTTAAGTAAGGCAAGTGTGGTGGCACACATCTGTAAAGTGTGAAGAACAAGAGTTCAGTGTTATCCCTGACCGCACAGCGAATTCATGGCCAGTCTGAGCTACCTAAGACCCTGGCTCAAAAAATAACATAAAGTTGCTTAACCCATGATTTGTCACAGAAGTCATCGTTAGATGGGTATCTAGGCAACAGGTTCTGAATTATATTGCCGATATGTATCAATGCATCTATAAATTAAGCATAAATTGAACATATCTCTCTCTCTCTCTCTCTCTTTTTTTTTAAGGTAAAAGAAATTGGAGATTACTTTAAACAACACCTTTTGCAGTCCAGACACAGAGGAGCATTTGAACTGGCTTACACTGGTTTTGTGAAACTCACTGAAATATTAAACAGGTAAAACAAACATCCCTTTGTGTATGTTTTTAAGAAGCAGACTTAAGACCATGTGCTTGGAGTAGATGTTGCTTGTGCCTTTTTTTTGTTGGGAAGCGTGAAGACTGGCTGGCTATACAACTCATAAGAGATGGCTTTTGAGGGTCATTGTGTGATTGACTGCAGATGACTGAGTGAGACGTCCAACCTACACTACTTTCTCAAAGTGAGCTCAGAGATTTTGCCAAAATCGGCCTGGCATTACTGCTTGTTTTCATGGGTGAAATGAATGTTTTGTCTGTTTGAAAATAACTTGGCATTTGGAATTAAACAATCCTGGATTTGTTTGTTTGAGGGAAAAACATAAAGATTTTGTCTTTTTCTTTATAGTTTTATTTTTACAGAAAAAAATCTTAAAATAACAATAAATAGACAATAATTTAACCAGTTGTGTGTTTTTAACTTTGTGGGTGCTTTCATATAATAGATTTCCTCTAAGTGACTTGTAAGGAAACTTTAAGTTACTTAATGACTAAGTATTTGTGACAAACATTCTAAATAAAAGGCACGCCTTCAATACCAGCACTCGGGAGGTAGAGGCAGGTGGATCTCTGTGAGTTCAAGGCCAGCCTGGTCTCCAGAGTGAGTGCCAGGATAGGCTCCAAAGCTACACAGAGAAACCCTGTCTCAAAAAACCAAAAAAAAAAAAAAAGTGTTTTTCCAGGAAAACATTTCTATTGCCCGGAAACTTTGGAAGTGAAGCAGCATTCTGCCAGTCTGGAGCTTCAGCAAACAATTCATTTTGGACTGCTGAGAGATCTACATCTTGATTATTTGTGAAACTTTGCCTTCCACTGCTGGAAAAACATTTCTAAAATGTCTTGTTAGTTATTGGTTGCACAGAGTATCTTTAAATGATATTTTAAGAATGTCCCTAATATTACACTGGTGATCTTTAAAAATGTTTTATTTTTAATTGTGTGTGAGTGAGTGAGTGAGTGAGTGAGTGAATGAGTGAGTCCGTCTGTCCTTCCGTCCGTCCGTCCGTCCGTCTGTGGCCAGGAGTGCAGGTGCCTGTGGAGGCTAGAGAAGGACTTTGAATTCCCTTAGTCTGGAGTTACAGGTGGTTGCAAACCTGTAACCAAATGCTGGTCCTCTGTAAGAGCAGTAAGGTCTCTTAGATGCTGAACCATCTCTCCAGAGCTGTAAACTGCTGAGAGAAAGGAAGCTTTATGTATTCAAACAGGATAGAACTGCCAGATACTGTTTGAGCTTGGTAAATCTTATAGGGATGCCAGAGAGAAGAAGTGACAAGGAAGCGTTGTTCACTTTTTCTGGAGGAAATGAGCTTGTGAGGATGTAAGAGAATGAAGGTGGAAAGATTAGTAAATGTAGAGATGTCAGATCACTCTTTAGGCAGACTCTTCCTTTGTGCTGCTGTTGCTAAACAAGATGGATTTAGACCAAATTGTTCTGTTCTGTGCCACCAGATTTGCTGTAGTAGGGATGGGAGAGACACTTGGGCTTCTTATACAAAAAGCAGTCTGTGATTCAGGCTCTGAGTTCTGCATGCATCCTTCCCACTGATTGACAGACTGCTGAAGTTAACCTCCCGCTGACTGACAGACTGCTGAAGTTAATCTCCTTAGCCCTAGCCCCTACATCTCTAAGGGAAGTATTTATTCTATCAGCAGACCTCTCTGACTTTTATTGTATTGAGCAAATGCTTTGTTTTGAACATTGCTTTGCAATATATAGTCTTCTACAAATGTAAAATACTATGAGAGTGATGTTTGTCTGGAGGCAGTGTAGTAGTCTCTGACTGGAAACATTCAGCTCAGTAAATTTTAATGACTATTAGGGAAATCCTAGATTCAATTTTGGCAATCTAAGTCTCAGGTGATGAGGGCTTCCTCTATGATGATGGCTCTGAGGTTGACAAAGAGATGAGGTATTTCACTTACCATTTGGTCTCCTGTGGACAACTCCATATGTGACATATTGAATGATCAAAAGGAAAGCTATAGACGTTTTAATATATTCCTTTATTTTATGAGATAGGAATTGGGCCTAGCTAAGCTAGGTAGTTTTCCTCTGGACATTTACTGATTAATCTGTGCCATTTAACTGGCAGATGAGGTAGTAAAGGGGAGGGTGCTATAATACAGTGTGAGGAGACCTTGGAGGATTCCATGGCAGGCGAGGGACAAACATGCCTGGCAGACAGAGCTTAAGTGGGAAGTTTTATTGGGGAAAGGGCAGGGAGAACAGGGAGAGAAAGGAAAGAGAGGGAAAGGATAGAGAGAGAGAACGAAAAGAAGAGATAGACAGGAAAAGTCCTGTCTGCCCCTTCAGAGCAACAGTGGGAAAAGAGCACAGAAGTGGGTGGAGTTTTCCTCTTAAAGGGCCCTTTGCTCTTGCATTCAGACTATGTAGTGATGTAGTAGCCATAGGACCCTAGACTGGTCAGGGTACTTCCTGAGTGCATCCTGCCAGGTGATGGGGGCAGGCCAGCATAATGCCTGAGTTCTAACAGAGGGCGTTTCCTTTTGACTGCTCACATTTCTGGTACCTTGGGTAGTGGGATAGCTAGAAGATTGGACCTAGGTGGTGTATAAACTAACAATACGACTGTCCTATGGTAGGGAAGGTTTTATTGTAGATATGAGAGAGAACAGCCAGAGGCATCTGGAAGAGTAGACTGATCATGGCCAGCAGACTAGACATGGCCAGGGCTGTCTGAGAGGGGGAAGAAGAACAGGGGATACAGAATAGAAAAAGTATAGAAAGACTAGTGGGGGCTGTAAGCAGTGAGGGCAGCAAGAGCAAGAACTGAGAATAATGAGAATAGCTGGAGAGTGGAGAGAGTTTAGGGTCCAAGAGGAGGTGATAAGGTCTAGGATGCTAGTATGGACTTTGAAATGTATAACAAATATTGGGGAGTAGTGACTGGGTGAACCTGGATGCCAGCATGGACTCAATATGCTGAGAGGCGCCACAGGTATATGTTAATTGGAGAGCCGTGTGTACCTTTTGCCAGGGGTAAGGGAAATGACTCCTTTTTGGCAGAGAAGAACCAGTTTCACAAGTTCCTGAGCAATTTTTGGCTTTTATCTAACAGCAAGAAGTCCTCCTAGAGTCTGCACTGAGCTCATTCCTGGATATTTGGACTGCCCTTTTGTGGGGTCCTCTTTCCCTCTCGGCCTGTCGGCCATCAGTTCCAGAGGGGGGAAAAAGCAGAAGGGGAGATGAGGGCAGGCCCAGTGCCTGGTGTATGGTCACTCCTAATCTGTTTTGAGGTGTTCTCATCTGATGCCTCTGAGCCCAGTGGTTTTCTATCCCTTTGGGGACATTTCAAATCTGACTGTTTTTCACAGAATATCTATCATGTGTGTTGCTTTTGTTTATTTGGTTGGTTTTTATTTTTAAAAGAAAGTCTGTTTTCTTTTGGCTTTTTTAGGAGAAGGGGTTAATAAGTGCTTAAGTGATGAGAAACTTGTTTAGGCATACAGCATTTAAGAAGTTTGCAAGGAAGAAATCTGGGCATTCATGAAAACCCATAGAAATCAAGGCCAGCTGCTGGGTATCTCTTGCACTACAGCCGTGTTAAGGAAGAAAACACTTTAAAGTGATGAATGAACAAATAACTGAAGATTCAAACATGAGCTACATCCTTTAAATTGGTTTTTAATAGGGTTATTCAAAATGTCTTCAAATGTAAACTGACTTTACTATTAAACAATTATCTGAGGATAAACAAGAATGGAGGGCGATACTATTTCTTTTTTCTGAGAAATTTTTTGAAATAATATTTATATGTATAACACAAATGTGGAATTTTTCTGTAATCTGATTTTCTCGTGTAGCGATTTCTATTTGGGGTTTGATGAAATATCCAGACTTTCTTTTTAAAACAGCATTACTGCCAAGTATGATTGTGTGTGCCTGTAATTTCGGTATTCTGGAGGCTGAGGCAGGAAGATTTACATAGCAAGACCTCCTACCAAACCAAAGCAACAAAGCGGGCGGAAGCCACTACTATCCTTCCTGTGCATAGTTAGCTACCTAAACGATTAATTGGAGTGCTTGAGTGCATTTAAACCATGAATGAATTTGAATTTCTGTGAAACTCATAGATGGAACTCTCCTTGACCTTTGTGTTTGAAGCTGTTTGTTCTGATTTAGAGAGTCCTAAGCTAGAGTGTGATATTGGGGACTTTCATTTGTCCAAGTTGGAAGCTTAACCATATGAGGGGAAATTGTTGACCAGAATTGTAAGTATAGAAGGTGCCTTTGTGAGTACTTCGTGGTGTCTTCCTCCTCATGTGAGAATTGCTCTGCTGACTGAAGGGAGGGCATTCTACAAATATCTGATGTAGTAATTGTAACCATATTCACATTATTGACCCCTGAATGACTGCTGACAGTAGCAGTTATAGTTATAAAACACTAGTGAGGACTCATGGTGTCTATCATCATGGCAGAAGCAATTTAAATATTTGATTTTTTTTACCAATTAATTATAGTTCCTATGATGCAAATTCAAGTGAAAACCTTTTTGAGAAAATTGGATTATAACAGTAAAAACTAAGTTCTTCTCCTGAAGAACGAAAGAACATAACTTTTTCACAGTTATAAAAAAAATTAAATGTTAAATGTAATATATTGGGGGGAAGGTCATTCTGCTCTGATTAACATTGTATTATCTAAACTTTTATTCATGTTTCATTTGAAAAATATTCCTGAACAACATACTTATTGCTTACTAGATGTCCTGTGAATTTTGATTCAGTTTTTCTAGTAGGTTAAAAGGATTTTGTGAAAATCAGAATACCTTAGTATTTGTTTTCTCAGTCGTTGTGGTTACTGAGTTGTTAGTGACCTTTGAAGTTTCAGTTTTCATATCTATTTTATGTGTTTTGCCTGTGTGTAAGTGCACCTGGCACATGCAGTACCTGCTAAGGCCAGAAGAGGGCATCAGGTCTGCTAGAACACCTCCTTGTCGGTGCTGGGACCCAACC